GTAAAACCACTAGTTTGACCTGATATTAGATTTCCGGAGATGAAAGCACTAGTACAGATTGCCAAATGTCCCCAAATACACTGACAATCCATACCAATAATTTAAAAGAAATATCTGACTCAGGAGGTAAAAAAAAAAATCTTTAGCTTTGGGTGTGTTTGTGTTTTTTATCCCCTACCTCAGTGTGTATTTTTATCCATCACAACAATTTTTAATCAATAATTAAAGTTGGTAAACAGATCTATGGGGGGATAGAATCCTTCATTTTGAGTTTAATAGATCGCCTCTCAAAGTCATTCCTTGACACAGCAAGTTGCCAAGGGAGTCTGTGCCAGTAAACGAGACAGAATGGGGTTGATTAAAAAGCAAAACAACATAAAATCTGACATCCTGCTGTGAGTTTAAAAAAAAAGCAAAATGACTATTAGCAACCTATGTTGATTTCTGTCAAACTCTTTATCTGTGTACTAAGGACAAGGAAAAGTAACACATGGCTTCTAGTCAGATCAACTTTGGGGATCATGGGAATTTATGATTTTTTGTTATCCTCAGACTTCAGTCTTTTTTGTTTGTTTGTTTTCTTAGGACATTTCTCCTTCTGTGGAAACTCATGAGACATTTGTTAGTCAGTCTGGAGCCTAGAGGTATGTGAATTGCTGCAGGAAGAGAAAAGGGATGTCTTTTGGCTTTTCTTTCCTATAGATTCATTGAGTGTTTACCAAGGTGAAAGGATTAGTGCACTGGAGATCATTTGCTTTCATGAGCTTTAAACTAGAGCAGCAAAAGTTTCATGCCTTGATTTTCTTCCAACAGCTCTTTCTCTCAGCAAGGCATAGAAGAGCAAGCTGAGACCTACAGATTGCCAACAGACTCTTCCAACAAAATTGCCCTGTCTTAATCAGTTAAACTGGGTGGGAAGGTGGAACCTCTGCCAGTTCTCTCCCATCTCTTCCACCATGTGGCGAGACACCCGAAGCATTCCACAGGGCTTTAGGATCAAGATGAAATAGTCCAGATTTCTAAGTCTCAGTAATACCCAAACCTCAGACCATATGTACAAATAATTCACGTACTTTCTAACCTTTGTATTTTGCATATAACCTCTCTGTCAAGCACTGATTTTCTGGAGCTTCGTGTAGAATAAAAAGTTATGAAGAAAACAGTACAAAAGTTTTTTGTATGCTGGGCATTATTTCCATTTAATGCCAAAAAAATGGTATTAAGTATGGAGACTAAAATTGATGCTCTCCAGCAATTTATAGCAGAAATTTTCCCTTATGGTTGGCATCTGAAGAATAATGGCTTAAAATATTGCTTTTAAAATGGAATATAATAGGACATAGAATGACAGCTGCAAAACAAACAATAATCCTGAATTTGGCTTGAAACAAATTCAAAAATCAGGTAAATGCAAGGAGATCCCTGTTCCCAAATTACCTTACTTAAGAAATAAAATGAGAAAAGCAAAGCAAACAGAAAGACATTTGATTAGCACTCTTCATATGGACCTTCTCCCCCACTTCTGGAAGTCAGGGTTTGGCTGGAAGAGTCTATGCTCTTGCACTGAAGCATTTATGTGGTAATGGACATCACAGTCCCTTTCACAAGTCAGTGATCCGATTCCCTAATGAGCTAATTAAATGACCTTCTACAATTTGACCTTTGGAAATAAGCTATAGGAAAAAGAAAAATGAATTTCCACTGAATTCACTTATTTTAAGGCCTTTTATATTTTACAAGCACAGTCTTGGTATATTCAGAATAATAAATACCAGAAACTCTAAATATTAAATTTGAATTCTATTGATCAAATTTATATTGGAACAATTTAAAATTTGCCAGTTATCTATGACCACATGTATCCTCAAGAATGATTTCACCTCAAGGAAAAGTAGGTAAGATTTCCTTCAAATCCTTGTTTCAAAACATTAAAAGCTACCCACTACTCCACCCCATCCTCTCTCTTTCTCACATTTATTATGAAACAAGGCCCGTTATTTGCAAGACCACTCATTGCCTTTAAGTCCCATTTTCCTCTACTTCTGCCCACTTTTCTTTGTCTTAAATCTTTCCCTTGCTCTTCCCTCTTGGCAATGGCAAAACAAGATAAAGAAGCATTGGAGTATTTTCCTAACTCAAGCTCACTTTGTCCACCTGCTATCTACCTTTCTCCTTCCTTTCATGGCCCAACTTCTCTATAGAGTCACTATCAAGTGACCCTGAGCTAATTCACCTTTTAGCATTGGTAAGTTATATTGTTAAAGATAGTAGGCTCTGATCATTAGAGATAGATAAGGCTTTATAGCTTCTCTGAACATCTTCACCTCTAGGTGGTGTATTATAATTATTACAAGTGTCAAATTTGCAAGTTTCAAATTCGCTACTTACTTAATGGTAAATAGGCACAAAATTCATACACCAGTTCCTGTAAAATCAATTAAGTCCTTAACTGTCCTTTCATATTTACATGAACGATTACTCTAAAGCTGCATGTGATAATCTCAGGACATCTAGTTGGATCAGGCATCAAAGCCCAGTGTGTGGGTAAAACACAGGGGGAAATTCAGCTGGAGACCCAGGCTCTAGTCAGGAGGTCTTAAACTATCAGGCTTTTTGGATTCTCCACTTTCTTTCAGATGGGAATCAGCCTCTATGCAATTTCTTTTGTTCGCCAAATGTCTTGAACCCTACCAATTATACAAAAGAAAAATTTATTTCTAACATTCATTATGCTAATTAACTTACTATCTCGAGTAGACTGACAAGACTTAAAACACTTGCTAGTATCCCTGAAGTCGGATTCCTAATTAAGTTCTTCTAAGTTCTAACTAACTTCCCATTGGGGTCTGATCAAAGTTAACTTGTATACATGTGTAAAACATACTACTTACCTCTGAAGAACTATAAAACATACTATTATCCAGTAATTTAGCAGTCATCTCCTTTTCTTACCACTGCTTTATGATTGTTAAGCTTAGTTATCAACTGGAGGAATCTAAGAGACTTGGAGAGGTGATTGGAGAATGTTGTTATTTGGGTCTGGAATTTCCCTCGAACTCTTATGTTCTCAGAGGCAGGGCTCTGGGGGGGGCGGTGACTGGATCATAGAGTTCTGTAAATTGTGGTTTCATCCACTGTGAGTTCAGTGGTGGTGTGCTATTGGGAGATTGGGCCTGATTGGAAAAAACAAGTCCCCGTGGCCATGACCTTGAAGGTGTATCTCTCTCCATCCCTACTTCCTAGCTGCCATGATGTGAGCAGCTTCTGCCATTTTATTTCTGTGCTTGAGCTTGCCAGATATGGATTGAACCTTATAAGCCAAAATAAACTCCTTTAACTTGTGGGTATTGTATCTCACCTACAAAGAAAATGACCAAGACAGGACACTATACTCATCTGTGGATGAATGAGTTGCTAGAAGGTGGGGACCAGCTGGAAATGGGTGACTAGGGGCATAGCTTTGGAAAGTATCTCCTGGTAGGACTCTTGCTGACTGCTCTGCTCTCTTCCATGATGTCTCTGCCACAGAACCAGCTGGCCATGGAAATCTCTAAAATTGTGAGATAATCAAACCTTTCTTCCTGTAACTTATGAGTGTTGGGCAGTTCTTCTCAATGATGGGAAAATTGATTAAAAAGTGGTCCTTCACTACAGATAGTCAGGTCCACTCTCAGCTGACTTCTTCATCCGTCACACCAATAAACTGGTTCTCTCTAAAGTCATTGCTAACCTCCATAGTAAGAAATTGAAGGGATATATCTCACTACTCATTTTGATGCCATGTACACCAGGCTCCTGGTTCTGCAGACACTGAAGAATGAGGACAAGAACCAAAGGAGGAAGTTAGGAGAGCTTTTGTTCGAAATAAAGAGAAGGAGAACAGCTCCTGTATTTCCAAGAGAGGTCCCAAATGGCATGCCCCCTCCCCATCTAGAGCAATAGAGCACAGGGATGGCTCAGTTGTTTACTGGTCACCTATCAGAGATGGCTCTGTGGATTTAAAATGACTGATTGGTATTCAGGCTTTTAACCCAGTTCTAAAACATGTAGGGTTTACAGGAAACTGGGATCCCAGAAGGAACTGGTTAATTTCCTCAAATTCAAGAATTTAGTAGGGAGTGGCTGCACCTCCCTTTAGTAGGGGGTGGGCTGCATTCCATGCTTCTTGAGGAAATTCCTCCTTTGTCCAAAGTCCTAGTTCATTGTCTATTCTTATATTTTACCTGTGTGGCTGGTCATCCCATACTATTTTAGGCCTTTCCACTAGCTAGCTGCCCTACTCATAAGCTAACTAAACTATTTTCTACAATTTCATTTAATCTTTGGTTTAACTTACCATTGTTGGTCATACCCACTTTCTAAATACTACTCTGTACAGATTTTCTTGTTGCCCAGCTAAGCCACCTTGGCCTCCTTGGCTGGCTTGCCAAGCAAAGAAGACAGAGAATGAGCAGAACATTTTGCTTCTTCAGGATGATTTATCTCATTCACCTTATATATTATTATTGCTCTCACTAGAGGATGATGAAATAATCCAGAACCAAGCCCTAAAGCATTCTAAAATGGAAGGTCAGTTAGATGTCTAAGAACCAAGAAGAGAACCTGAGAAGTAATAGCCAGAGAGGTAGGAGGAAAACTCCACAGAGCAGAGAGCAGGGAGTGTATTTTAGGAATAGGGAAATGTACATCATAATAACATGATTGAAAAGTCAGCTAAGATGAGGTTGGATAAATACAGAATTAATAATTTGGAGCTTGTTTTTGGTAGTTGTGAAAGCAACATCAGTGCAGTAATGGGAACAAAAATGGGGCAGGGGAGGGAATGAGTGGAAGATAAGAATATAAAAATTTCTTTTGAAAATATTTCCAATGAATTGAAGCCAAGAAATGAAGTGACAATTGGCGGGGGATACTGGGTCTGTATTAGTTTAGGCTGCTATAATGGAATACCATAGATAGGGTGGCTTAAACCTTGGGCATTTATTTCTCACAGATTTGGAGTCTGGAAGGCCAAGATCAAGATGTCAGCAGATCTGGCATCTGGAAAAGACACTCTTCCTGGTTTCCCAATACTGTCTTCTCACGGTATCCTCATATGGTGGAGAGAGGGATTTAAGGTTCTTTTGTTACAGTAATATCGCATCCTAGGGTTGCCTTTCATTCACTAATTACCTTTGAAACTTCTAGCTTTTAATAGCATTGGAGTGACACTCAGGCTTTTGGGGGAACACAGACATGCAGCTGATTACAGATCAAAGAAGTGCTTTAATGTGAGCAAAACTGGACCCTGCTGTATACTAATGGGAAAGATCCAAAAAAGAGAAATAAATTCTAGTCTCGTAAAAAGGGTATGAAATCCTAGAAAAGATGAAAGGATGGATTTCATAACCCTAGTCTAAAGATTAGTCCTTGATAGGATGAGGACACTCCTTCAAATATAGTAGGAAAGAAGAGTGGAAGTGATGAACATTGTAATTTGTGGGATGGGATAAACAGGAATCTAATTATTCTTAAAACTTGGAAATTTTCGAATAGTTAGAAGGAAAAACTTGCCATCATTCAAAATTGGGTACAGATATACTGTCAGAAGCCCTGAGGTACACGGCTGCACATGCCTTGGGAGAGATATTTTCTATAATATATAAAAGTAGAAAATGAATTACATGAGTGTGTGTGTGTATGTGTGTGTATGAGAGGTAGGTGGTAGGGAGAAAAAGGATGAGACACATTGGTTATGACTGGCTTAAATATACAGGTTGTCATTACTTTAAAATGTTTACTGCTTGCCATCTGATTTGAAAGACACCTATTTCAATGAAAGATAACAATTTAGAGGCAATAGGAATAAACAGCTTAGGATTCAGTAAAGTCATTTCCTTAACTTACAAATCAAGGTGGTGATAATGGTGATACCATGTTGATTGACGGACAGCTTCCCTCTCACAGAAGAGCAAAGCTGGCAACTGCCTGTGGGTGGGCCTAAAGAAAGATGTGTTCTGCCTCCCCTTGTAAGAATTTCAGTTTAGAAACCTGAAATACTGTTTGGTAAGTTTGTGAATAGGCAATTTTACTACAAATTCACCACTGTCACAACATGGGGTGCTCTTGCTTTGAGAAGAAATTAAAAATACCAGTGCCCATGAACTCTGGTGGTTAAACAAAGTATCAGCAGCATCCGGCTACAAATATTTATTTAGGCTCTTTGTTTTCCCTTTAAATAGAAACAGCTATTACTTAAATTTTCCAAATACACGAGGTTTTTACTACCACTGGGGAGAAATCGAGCCAGTGTTTTGGTCGTCATGCACAGATTTGCGCTAAAGTATTTTTCCTAAAAGGTAACTGGATATTCATGTTACTATTGCTTTTCCTTAGAAACACAAGTCTCCAGATGATAATTACAGGCTTTGAGCAGAGGAAAGAGTAGTGAAGAAATCCAGAGCTCTGTAAACATTTCTGAAGAACGGTGTCAAATGTATGCAGAAGTTCAGGTATGGGGAAACTTTGGGTTTAACCTTCTTAAGATGATATTTGAAGCGTGTCTCCAAAACTAAGGTTTCATGAGGGATTTTCGCAATTTGTTTGTTTTTAAAGGAAGTTTTAGCCTGTCTGCTAGTGCAGATAATCTTCCCTCCCTAAATCAGCACTGTACTGTTTTGTTAAGTCCAGAGCCCTGCAGACTGAACAAAAGGTGTGAAGTTCTTCTCATCCATCTTAACGGGGTGTTAATGACTGCAGAGGCTGCCGGTGACCATGTAAATGTGAGCGCTATTAATCAACTAGGAAAAACACAAACACCCGGCTTGATCCCCTGAAATATAATTGCGAGGGAAAGTTAAGTCCAATTCTGTTTTTGAATGAAGACTTGTATGTTTAAAAAAATGAGCTGCCCCCAAGCCAGCCTGGCCGATTTTAAGTCAAACCTACAGGCAACAGCCTTCTAAGCTTTTACTGAGATTTTAAGCGCCAGTTTCTCTGATGAATTTGCAGTTTAGCTCTGCTCCATCCAGTAATTTTTACCAGTGGTGTAAATTTCTGATAGGCAGTCACTTGCCAAATTATATTTCCCTAAGAGGATGTTTAATGTATCATTTGATGTGCAAATGTATTTGTGTGCATGTGCTTGGGTGTGAGTGCTCCTCAAGGATACTTAATTCAAGGTTTAAAATTATTTCCTGCATCTACAATTTGCTCACTGTGATTCTTCTTGCATTGTGCTTGTCGTGTTTGAAATTGTTTTTCTTGTTTTTCTTTTGAGGTGGGGGAGTCATGGGTTTATCATGGCAAAATTGGAAAAGTTTCTGGAAAACTAAATAAAAGATCTTTTTATTTTGTGGGGTGGGCTAATGGAAGCTATTTTGCAGGGTGGGCTAGTGGAAGAGTAGAAACATATTGATCTTACTTTGCGGAGAATGAGGAGCTTCTAGCTTCAGATGTTACTACTGTTAATGTATTGAATTAAAAGAAACAGCACAAGCAAATGGTGCTAGATTTCTGTAGAGCAATGTGCAGTCCAGCATGTCCTCTTAGCAGTCTCATTTGCACACTGTCTGCAGTCTGAGATTAGTAATCAAGGGGTAGTGTATTTATTTTTGCTTTTCTGTACATGGCCTTAAGGCCATGCCAAAGTGCCCGAGTGGCAAGCACTTTCTTGTCTCATGTTTTTGCCAGCGACATTGTGCTTCTCTAGCAATAACCACCACTGGGAACAGTGACCTGGCCTGGCCTGATCTGACCCTTCTTCGTGTACAAGATGCAAGTTTGGAGGGTATTTATCTCTATTACTGGACATATTGTTGATTTTCACTTTTTGATAGGAGCAGCCAAGCCACTTTTGGTTTCACCACTTCTTAAATTCCCCCCTTGTTTGTTGCCTACAGCAGAAAGCACTTGGAAAGTGCACAAAGGAAATAAAATACTTCAGTGGCCTCTGAAATTAAATAAAATACTTGTCTATGGGTTAGGTCTTTTCTTCCCCACTTTCCCAATGGAGAGAGGCAGAAAAGCTGTGGATTTTAATAAGGCTAACATTCTAGGTTTGGAAAAGGTCAAGTGACCACAAATGCCTGATAAAGTATTTGCTTTTTTCAGTATGATATTTGAATTTTAAAATATGGTATTTAAAGCAATTATTCTTCAGAAGTTCACTAACATCAAATGAGAGGTTCTAAGGCCTGAAATGCTCAGGGTTCCCTATGAGTTGTCACTGATGCTGTTGTCATTGAGGCCCAAGGGAGGGCTTGAAATGCAGTATGTTTAAGATATTGCCAGAACCTCACCCAAGACTTGGCAGATGGGGAGAGAAGAACCAGTGGAAAGGCAGTTTGAGGGGTCACATATCAATGTATGCATCAAGTACAGGTTATAGATTGTTGCTTTTCTGCTTCTATCCTCCACTGTGAAAGTTAGGAGCGCATCTTCAGAAAAATAATAAATGAACTGGGCACGGTCATGCACACTATGATCCCAACACTCTGGAAGGCTGATGGAGGAGGATCACAAATTCATGAACATCCTGGGCACTGTAGCAACTTAGGGAGGCCCTGTCTCAAAACATAAAATAATAAAAGAGCTAGGGACATAGCTCAGTGAGCAGGCCCTAAATTCAATCCCCGGTACCACACACACACACGTACACACATAGAACACACACAGGCAATGAAGGTTATGTTGCCTGCTTCTTCTCTTTCTCCTTCTATCCCTTTGCAGGTTATCAGTGAGCCTTTCCTTCCTCTTTTGAATTGAAGCATTCAAAAGTAATGTTATTCTGCTTCTTTTGGGTTGACTTTTTAAAATACTGACATTCCCACAGTTCTAAGGCTACCTGTGGGTGAAGTTAGCTGTTCAGGAAGAGTAGTAGGGAAAATGGATTGATTTAGTTTTTTTAACCTGAAGCCCTGGATTCGAGTACTTAGTTGGCTTTTATCCTGCTTCTGCAACTGCCTCCTTGTGGTCTTGGCTGCAATGCTATGCTTTTGTCTCAGTTTCCCTCTCTGTATAAAGGGAGGTAATTACTCTAGCTTGCACATTAGGTTTTAGCCTCAAACAACAAATAAATGATTACAAAGTACTTAAAATTACAAGACACCGTAGAAATCCTAAATGTCACAGTCTTATTTCCCTATAGGAAGTGATAAAGTAAAAGTGAGGTTTAATAGGCAAATTGAAACTCCTAGATGAAATGGGCTGGCAAAGTTCAAAGTCATTTTGTTATTATTAATAATAGGTGTTGTTCCTCTCCCTATCCGCCTCACCAGATCAGCGTACATTCCTCGGATTAAAGGGAATGTTCTCCTGCTAAGTAACTTTTATCTGCAGTGTTGAGACTTGGCTTATCCTGTTTTATGGAAACGAAGTTTTGAATGACTATAAACAACTCCCTTTTTCATAACCTCTTTTTTTTGTTTGGAAAAAAATAGGAGGCAAGTTGGCTCTTGGTTCGTCTTCCTAAGCCTGTGAAAATGTTTATGTGAAATTCCTTTACCAATTCTGTTTTTCTTCCTGAGACCAAACACTCCTTGCTTGTGGGTCCTTGCTGTTCACTCTGCAGTCTTTCTTAGACAAGTTTCTTTGACTATATGGGGAGATTCCAAATTTATTTTTTTTAAATTTATTTATATATCTAAAGTTGCAAATTGTATCAATGATTTTTATCAAAAAAATCCCCTTTTAAGTTAGAATAAATAAAAAGCATAAATATTTTACTTTAGAATACTTTTGCTTAGCTGGGCATGGTGGTTCTTGCCTATGATCCCAGCTATTTGGGGGCCGAGGCTGGGTGATCACAAGTTCAAGGCCAGTCTGACCTGGGTGACATAGTGAGAACCTGTCTCAAAGTAAAATTTTTTACTTTTTTTGGTTCTTTTTTCCAGTACCGGGAATCAAACTCATGACCTTGTGCTTGCCAGGCAGGTGCTGTGCCGCTGAGCTAAACCCCCAGCCCCTCAAAGTAAAATTTTTGAAGAGTCTGAGGGGTGGGGGTGTAGTTGAGCAGCAGAACTCTCAGTGTGAGGCCCATGGGTTAGATTTCCGGTAATAAAATTGTTTAGTTAAAAAATCCGCAAGAGCGCTGCATAGAAATTTGTCAGGTAGAGGGAACTCGGTATACATGACAAGGAGGATTCCGACCTGGCTGTGGGGAGGGGAAGGCACAGAGTCAGCATTTTCTTCAGAATGAGGATTTGTACATGGAAGTACGAGGCTTCTAATCACTCAAGTTCTGAGTCTTTTATACTGCCTCATAAAACCCATTTTAAATAAACCTCAGAAAATTTACTTGCACAGAAAATAAACAGGACCTCCTCAGGTAGTATCTAGTGGGTAGTTCGTTGCTCTTTTATTCCAAATACGTGTCAGGGTCTTCTCTGTCACACTGGACTTTGCTGGGATCAGGAACAAAAGCATATTTAAAATTTAATGAATAGACAAGCAATACAGTGACCATTTAGGTAAGCAGAGTTAAGTAACAGAAGAAGTGGTATTCCAAAACAGTGCATAATTAAGTATCACGTCAGCGTGGGAGGCAGGCAATGCTGTGGGCCTGGCCTGATCTATTGTAAACACTGAAAAAAGTATCGGGATGAAGTCACAGGAAATAGATGTCACTACGGGTTGGGATGGTTGCAAAATCTTAGTAATCACTGTAACACTGAGCTGACTTTTAGGAGTCAGTTTGGATAGTAGAAACAGGATAAAAAAGACAATCAAATTGGAAGAATAGGCAAAGTTATGAGGAGGATGATCTCTCTATGTTTGTGAAAAATGAATAAATCCTATACCAGCGCAGATGACAGGCAATGCTTTAATAAAATCACTACAATGTATAGGCTATTTATGGAATTGCACAGTTTCTAAGAACTGTACTTCATAATTTTCCTTTACTTACTACAACCTCAGAGCCTATGGAGTGAGCTGAAATGATTGTCTCTGGGGAACCTGAAGTTCTCTGCCTGGCGTTTCCAAGGGAGATGCAATGCTGAGACTCCTCTTCAAGGAAACAATAGCTGATAATATGTTGTGTTGGTGGTCCAGTAGGAGTTAAAGCCTTAAACTAAACGTGTTTCTTTACCCAAGTAGTTCTTTTAAGCCACTGTAAATTCAAGCAAGTGGGCACGAAGAAGCTGTGGTGACAATGTGAGAACTTTAAGGGGTTCCTTATCTTTGCTCCGGTCGCGCCTGCATTTTAAAGGATGTGGAGCACCTTCTTGCTGGCTCTGCATAAATGAAAGGATATTGGAGAGATTCCTGATAATTAGAATCAGAAGCTGGAGTGAAGAATGGTGTTGTCAGTGACCAGCTCAGTGTACCTGAGTGGAGTTCATTTTTATCAACTGCGCTTTATAATCTTGGTGACTGTTACAAACATCAACAGGCAAAAATGTTGCCTTGTTTTCTTTCATTGTTTTGCGTGAATGTAGCTGCCTCTTAATGAGTGCCTGTTACATTCCAGGCTTTGTGTATGTGGTTTCAGATATTATCTCTAATCCTTCCC